CCCCCCCCCCCCCCAGCAGACCAGGGAGACGCGGAGCGGCTTTTCTCAGCCGACACCTCAGCTTGAGAATAAAGGACTGAGGGAAGTGAGGTGTGGGAGAATAAAACTGAGCTCTGGAGAAATGTTTGGCTAGAGTTTCCCCTACACTATGTACCAGTTCCGACTTACATACAAATTCAACTTAAGAACAAACCTACAGTCCCTATCTTGTACGTAACCCGGGGACTGCCTGTAAACTGGAGAGAAAATAAAGAGACATCTCTGGGCACACCCTGGATACTGATCTCCGAGTTGCTTTTCATTAAGTGTTGCCTTTTATGGCCCGGGAGTTATTTAATTTGCTTCGGTTAAGAAATAATGCCTTACGTCTCCATCTGTTAGACATAGCTTCAGGGCAGGTTATGCAGAAAAGTCTCTAGGTCTGGCTTGCTTGCACTGCTAATTAATGCCTGTTACTGGGCAAGTAGAGGCAGATGCATTGAGCCACCTGGAGTGTGGGACTAAACAAGTGTCTGAAAGCTACTTGAGTGTGTGTGCGTGTACATAGCATAGCAAACGAAATCCAGAAGGCTGAGGTGGGACCCCACAACCAGACCTTGAACTGCAGGTGTCTCAGCACAGGGCAACGGCTGCTGCAGTTCCCCGTTCAGGACTGGATTTTCCTATGCCACAGTTGGGCTTATTTTCCAAAGTGCTCTGCTTGCACTGTGACCCTTGCAGCCATATGGTTAGAGGAGCTCAACACCCAGCATGCCAAGCTCTATGGAAAACCAGGCCCCAAAGGATCATTGTCATGCTCCACATTGCTCCCAAGGCTTCCTCAGCAATGATGCACTTAAACATTCTGGCAGGCAGGTGCTCCGCTCCAATCAGGATCCACAGCTTGGCTGCTTGGAAATTCAGACGGATCCTTCCTTTGTCTGTTTCCCTGAAGATCAGCATTGCTCCCTACCAGGCAGCCTGAAATGGCTTTGGAATCTGCTCTGTGAGATTATACCAGGAAAAGGAGATGCATTCTGCACAAAAGGGAGTGTCCAGATAGAACCACGTGTTTCCATGAATAGTTTCCTTGGCGAGTCACCAAGTATGCAGGAGCAGCCTGTACTGGCTGGGAGGGATAGATCAAAAGGAGACAGCCATGATTGCTCTGTGATTCACTGGCTACCACCCTTCCATGAATCGTTGTGCTACATAAACCTGCAGCTGTTCTGTGCCTGGTCTTTGAAAACAGAGAGGAGGAGGACCTCTTGTGTGCTTTTATCGTTCCTCTTGGCAGAATAGCTGAGCTGAGTTCTGCAAAATCCTCTGAAAAGGCCTTACCTGAGGCTTGACAGAAACATCTGTGTTGTGAGAGGGGGAAATTCCCTGGAGGTCTCAGAGCAGTGGCAGAGGTTTCGGTGTAGAAGGCATGTAGCAATTCTGTCTTGTTCATCACCCAGATTGGAGATTAAGTTGGTTGTCCAGCTCTCCCCGCTTTCCCCAGATGCACATCTCCCCCTGTAAACACATAGGGCACTTGGGAAGTGTCAATTTGCAGGTGATCTGGCCCAGGGGGTGAAATACGAAAAAGGCAACCCAGGGACAGTAGTAACTGGCAGTACCTTTTGCTATTGGGCAGTGAAGATGCCATCAAAGAGCCCTTATTTTTTGGATGGTAAAGTGCAGTCATCCAATTAGACTGGGAGATTGGGTGAAATGAAAATCCAATCCAAGGGGAAGTAGGTGCATTGTTCAAGATACAGGGCAGATTCCCAGCAAGTGTCAATCAACCAAGGGAGCTGTACTCATCTACACCCGCTGAAGGTCTGGCTCACAGTAATAACTTGGTAAAAGTCAAAAGCTCATATCCAGACCTTATTGGTGTCACAATGACACCTAGAGACCCCAATGAAACCCCATTGTGCTAGGCTTGGTACCTGTACGCACGTATACAGGACGTAAGTCCCTGCCTCCCACAGAATTTAGAATCTAAATAGACAAGACAGGTAAATTGTGAGCGGGGAAACAGAGATACTGAGCATGACTTGCCCAAGGTCACACAGCAGGACGCTGGCAAAGCCGTGGTCTCCTGACTCCTAGCGCAGTGGATTATGACCCTCTCAAATGGAGCTCTCCTCAGAGCAGCCCAGAACTGTACACCAGTGTTACCCCTCTGCCTTAGCCAGTGTGCTTTGTGGGGGATTAGATTGTGTGTCCATTCCCTGCCACACCATGCTGTTCTCTTCACCCACAAGCCCCTTGAGACACTGCCAGCCTTATTCTGCCTTGCAGGTAGCAGTCAATGACCCCAGTTTTTAAGTGGCTCCATATTTGTCGGCATTCGATTTAGCGGAAGATTGGCCGCCACAGTGTCGATCTTCCTGCAAGTATCAACATGCCCTTACTCTACTATTTCTAGTCTCTCACCCCCCAAACGTCTCTCCTGCTATTCCATACCAAGATAGGATCTTCTCTTGTGGGGGGGCGGGGAGGGCGGGGAATAGCCAGTTGTGTTGCCTCCTGTCAAACTGCCGCGTGGATTCAGAATAGGAGTAAATATCTATTAGGGACTTATTTCCATCACTGGTTTAACATACACTTACATCCAGGATGCTGTCTGTGAAAGACAAATGCACCAACCTACTAGGGTTGCTTTTTCTATCTAGAGTTGCTGCAGTGTCCGGTGACTGCTTCGTGTGGTTCTTTGTGAGGCTTGCCTCCTGTCAAACTGCCGCGTGGATTCAGAATAGGAGTAAATATCTATTAGGGACTTATTTCCATCACTGGTTTAACATACACTTACATCCAGGATGCTGTCTGTGAAAGACAAATGCACCAACCTACTAGGGTTGCTTTTTCTATCTAGAGTTGCTGCAGTGTCCGGTGACTGCTTCGTGTGGTTCTTTGTGAGGCTAAGACCTTGGGATCCTAAGACTATTGTAGAGCTCTCACATCTTGATTGTTAGTTCAAATCCTACGCCGCGTGTCAGCAGCCATTACGATTTCTGTGAAACGAGTTTGTTGATCTCCGGAGGATTCCCATCCTAACTTGCATTCAATGGTCCCTTTGCTGGCAGTTTTTGGTAATAGGCATGGACCCTAGAGAATGAATTACCTACAGAGTTTGAAGGCAGGGGTGGACTGAGGCTGCCAGGGTAGCACAGGGTGAGCTGTAGAAACTAGTGCTCTCTGGCTGAACAAAGGTTGTGGAGCTTTAAATCTGTCACCTCCCAGGAACTTTAAATTCATAGGAACATTGTTTAAAAGGAGGGGGGGAAACCCTCTGACACTGCAGGGCTATTCAGAGCAGATGACAGCACTACCATCCGCTCCTCCGTAGTTTCACTCAGCTGTATGGTAATTAATCTTCTCTAAGTGACATTGGAGTTGTCTGAAAGCCAGGAGAAGAGCCTAGTGGTTATTCACTCTGATGAATACCATCCACTGTCTGAGCCACTCCCCGTCCATGTGAATGGACTTTCTCTTGCTAACCAGGGTATCCGATCCTCTCTTCGGGAAAAATGTTTTCTTGTGAAAGCAGGCCAAGGACAGGCTGGGGCAGAGCAGCATTGGGGATGGGCCCATTCCCACTGCTGCATTCCTATGGGTCTGATTTGCAGTCTCCTAAAGCGCTAGCCTGGATGTTGGTCGACCTGGGAGAAGCCAAGGGAAATTTCTCCCTGCAGTGGGCTGGCCTGCCATTCCTAAGGGCTTGTCTACACATTCAGTGCAATAGCTGTGTCGGTGCAGCTGTGCCGCCGCAGCACGTTAGCGAAGATACGACTGTGCTGACAGGAAAGCCTCTCCTCAGTCCACCTCCATGGGAGGCGGTAGCTGTGCTGACAGGAGAAGCCTGCCCATCAACAGAGTGCTGGCTACACCAGGGTTTGGTCAGTGTAACTGTGTCACTATGTGGATTTTTCACACCCTGAGTGACACGGTTACCCTGATGTTCATTTGTAGCACAGAACAGTCCTTAGCCAGCTCCAGTGGAGAAGCTATTTCCAAGGGCAGCTACTGAATGAATGAAGAACAATAGCATCAATTGATTATCACGGGTGCTGAGTGCTGGGATGGTGATTGTGCAGCCCACACACTGGCTGGGTGTGGTTCACTGTCCTGTGTAATGACACTCAGACCACTAGAGAGAGAATGAGTTTGCTCTACTCAGCCTTAGTTGAGAGCCCGTTGACTTTTAGCTCATGCAGTAGAGTAGAAACTCATGCATTAAGCTCCAGAGGTCCTGAGTTCGGTACGGGTGCTGAGTGCTGGGATGGTGATTGTGCAGCCCACACACTGGCTGGGTGTGGTTCACTGTCCTGTGTAATGACACTCAGACCACTAGAGAGAGAA